TGTTTGTATGAAAATAAAACAATCTTAGAAAGTTGATTAAATACTTACTTGATTATTTTGTAATTCCAGTCAATTTAACTGACGATTTACAGTTTTGCGCTCGGATGAAAAGATCTCTTTTTTCAACGCAAAAAACGGCAACTTGGTGGTAGTTGTCAATCTGCAATATCTGTTTTTTAAATGCTGATTATATAATTATGGACACATTGTGTAAGTATCCGGTTACACACGTGTCGTCCTCGTCCAGTTTGATTCTCTTGGATGCGGATGCCATGATGAGCTGTCAGTAGGAGAATGTGATACAAGGTCGATTTTACACACTTTTATAACCTACGCCCATCAGAAGTCAGACAAGGCTAGACAATGATAGATATCAAGTCAAAAGGGTTGAATTAAAGGACAAGCAGTCTTGCCAAAATGAAACATGTTACTAGGCTATTCATAGATGCCACCTACGTCACTCCAAACCGAACGCCGCCATATTTACGCCCGATCTCGCCCGGTACGGCCGCCCAAACTGCCCACTTGACTGAGACGGAGAGACAGAGATACCTGGAGAAAATTTGTATTTTAGCTTCCGATCCTTATTTCTTACCCCCAGTTTTATTTTATCCATTATTATCTGCCCCAGATAATACACATTTTACACATTTTAGATGTCTTCCCTATCTGTATTAATTTTTTTTTTGTCTTGGAGAGTCTCTACCATAGTAAATTGATAAGTTGAATCATCATTAAAAAGACACAATGTTCAGTTTTGGTCCAATACTACTGAACCATGTGTTTTTTTGTTTGTTTTTTTTTTAGCTGTTTTGCCTCATTTTAACATGGTATGTTTTAATTTGAATAGAGTCTGTTCTCTGTTGTCTAATGAATGACCGTAACTGTAGATCATGGATTTGATCCTGTGGAACAAAACCTATTGTTGAAATCAGACAATATCCAACTCTTGCTGTATTTTCTGGAATGGTGAGTTCGATATTTTGTACAGGGAATATAATGTTTTCTAATTTTGAAAATAGGGGTTTGATAGTGTTTAAGTGAAATTAAGTACATACATGTGTGTTTTAGATTGAAACAGTTTCTTCTTTTGTAAACTTGTCGTTAAAAGCAGAGGCGGACAGAGTAAAAGTACAGATGCCCCTTGCTAAATGTTACTCAAGTGTAAGTAAAAGTGTGACCGGTGCAGGCCGGGGTGGACTCGGATGACCAGTCGGCCTTCTGACCAGACACCACCGTGAGGAGCCGACGCCACAGGTGCGCGACAGAAAGACGACAGAGGCGGAGATCATTTCAAAGGAGTAACAATCTTTATTGAACACAATATAGTAATGAGCACGAAGTTGATGTACTTCAGCGTCTTCTCTAGGTCTTCTTCAGTTATAGCTAGTTTCTGACCGAACGTCACCACTTCACCCCACGGCGACTCCACCAACGATACGCCTTCTTTCAGACGGTAAGTACGGAGGTAAAGATTCGATACGTACGACTGATCTTTTAGGGCATAAAACGAAAGTGGCTTTCACATGGTGGAGCAATGATGGGAGTGGCACCATAAAAGTAGTCTAGAGATTGCATTAAGAGATTAGGGGTGCGTTCATTAATTAACTCTGAGCGCAGTTTCCGAACCGTCAAGAGTGTAGCAGAGCGAATTTACAAACGCACCCTAGGTTAACAAGTTCAACTGTGAACATTTCGGTGTGTAGCCTAATATGCTTAGAATTAAAAACAGTTAAATGATTAAATAGTATGAAGGATAAAAGTGCCTTGTGTCACTCCAAGTAGACGACCACCCGCATCCTAGAATCACCCCAAAACCACCCAACCTATGGTTACCTTGAGATGAAAAGGCACTGAGAATCTTTCTAGACTGGACCACACGGAGAAAGGGCAGAAGATTTTCTTCACTTAGAAGGCTCATGTCCTCCTTGTTCTCCACACCAAGTTCCTCCAGGCCTGCCATCAAGGTAGTTAGTGTTTCTGCGGGGAGGTCCGGAAGTACTGCCAAGACAGCCCTCCTGAGCTCCTCCTGTGCTGGAGCCATGTTTCTGGAAAGGAGTGATGGAGACAGATCATTGTAATGTCACACATTGTGTAGGCTGACAAAGGACAATAATCCAGTAGATCATCATGCCTAATGCAAACAAACTGCTCTTGAGGTGTCCCCAAAACACTATAGACCCCAATGTCCCTCAACTTAACAAAACAATATTTTTCAGAGACAAAGGACACAGAGCCATGGTGCACAATGACCAGCTCTATCTTGCCAACCTCCAACTCTTCTTCAGTTTTCCCCAGCAAAATAAACATGCCCTTTTTGTATGATGTGCCCTTCACCATCACTGTGTAAGATGCTACTGTATCTTTAGATTCAAAATGCAAACCAACAACAGCCTCTCGGATTTTGTCACTAGCCATGTTTCCATCGACACGTTTTTATCCGAATTAAGTGATATCGAATGAAAAATGCCTTATGGAAACAGTAAAATTCGATGAAATTTCATGAAAATCGACTCAAATGAAATACGTTCGGTCTCATCGGATTTTCTCTTGATCGATATACGGCTAATGCGATAAAAGCTGATGGAAACGTTATTTGCCGAATAAATAATGAATTGCGATTAAGTTTTATGCCCTTTTATGGTTGCAACAAGTCAGAAGACGAGTTAATTTCCGGCCTGTTTGCGCACACATGGCGGATGACGTCAACAAAGACAGATGTAAGTGGACAAAGCAAAAAGATGCTTCAACCAAAGGGTTTCCGTGAACCACGATCTCCCAGAACTGATGGAGCGCTCGTTCCCACACCACAGTCACCTCCGCTGTCGTCGGGCATAAACGGGCATCATCATAGCAATGTTTATAGCGTCGTTGTTTTCTTAGGTTAGTTTTGCTTGTTTTTACGTGGCTTGGTTGAATTGTAATGTATAATGTGGTCTGTTATGTAAGGGTTAATGCCTGACGAGGTGTCCATTGTCAGGTTTTAATGGACGACGGCGAGGCGTAAACCGGCCGACGCGCAGCGGAGGACGGTTGCCTCCGCCGAAGTCCATTAAAACCTGACAATGGACACCTCGGAGGGCATTAACCCGCTTATACCATGGTCACTTGCCAAATAAAACATTAGTTTATATTTTAATTAGGCTAAATCTAGTTTTTACAAATAATAACTTGACTGACTGTTTATCTAGCAACCGGAGATATTTATAGTCCGCTTAGCTCGTATCCCTTCAGGTTCACAAATGCATTTTTTTTTCATGAAACACAAAGGTAGGCATAGTTTTTTTTATTACACATAAAACAATTAATCAAACAACAATAAAAAACAATTAGCTCTGAGCTCCAGCGATTTGCGCTTAACGTTATAGAGGGCAATAAATTAATCAGATCAAAGAGAGGGTCATTTGCCTCAGGCTCCTTAGGCTTGAAACGCTGTAACGTTCAGCCTTCTCCTGCCTTGGTTGCTGGACAGCTGCGTAAAAGTCCCGCAGGGTCTCATTCAGGGGTGCGTTTCCCGAAAGCATCGTTATCCAATATGGTCGCAAGTTACGTCGTTACCAATAGAGTTCAATGGAGCAGAGCAGCAGCGGTGTAATTTCCTCCGTTTTATTTACATTTTTTCTTTCTTCAGCAGCATACCAGTCGTCAAAGTTGCCATATTCTCCATAAATGTTAAAAGAAATAGCACGAAGTCGCTCATTGTTGTATTAGGCTATAATATCTAACGTTAGATGATAGAGCATGTGACGGCCTGTTGCTATGGTTACTCACAGCCGTTGTAGGCAGCGCATTTATTTATTCATTTCGAATGGTAAACGGGCAGTTTCACCAGAACTACTTTACTAGGTGTCCTCTATCACTTTTTAACGGACACCCTGCAGCCAATCAGAATCGAGTATTCACCCAGACCATGGTATAATTCTAGTTAACAGACTGCGGCGCTGCTATAACACACCGTTGCCATGGACACAGTTCAAAGACGTAACAGACTATTTTCTTTAGCAGAAGCAATACTCGTTTTTAAATCAATAAACTCGTTTTTAAGTCAATATTTTGTGTCAAATAATGTATTTATTTATTTATTTGGTTGATTTATATGTAATAAGCAGGATAATATATAGCGAGGCGGTTGTTAGCGAATACAACCGCTTCAACAACCACCTCATACATTATCCCATACATATGTCGCTATCAACTGGCACATAATAAACATTATTAGGCTTCAACTTGTGAAATACTTGATCATTTGTTGGTAGATGGCGCAATCTGTTTTGTCTAACAAAAGGTTGTTCGCAAAAGTTTGCTTGAATGTTGTTCGATTCAGTGCGAAAATGGATGGAAACATCTTAAAATGTCTCAAATCAATTCGATATACCAATTTGATCGCAAAACAGCATGTGACGTCATTACGTACAGGTTTTTATTCGCTTTAAAGCCGTTTGATGGAAACACACTTTCACCAGCTTTATCCGCATGTGTTTTTTTTACCGAACTTCCGATAATTCGATTGACAAGTGGATGGAAACATGGCTAGTGTTTCAGTTTCATTGTCCAACCCCTGTAGCTACTACGGTTACAGAAACACCAGCTGTCAAAAGAAAGAGATGTTGTACCAGTGAAGTGACCCCATGATAACTGGACTGGACTACAGTGACAGCTTTCCTGAGAGTGGGCAGAGTGGGGAACACAGCTACTGTAAAGACCCATCCATACTGAGAGCAGAGTAGCATGATCTGATGAAGCCTGTGGAGAAACTGACGGATGAGTGAACCAGACTGAGGGCAGAGGTCGGACAGGGTGAGGAAGTTATCTTTCCAGCAGGAGGTGTTCAAAGTACATCATATAAGTTTAATGAGTACATCCTAATAAATGAATAAAGTGTGTGAAAGGTTTGATATTGTGTAGTGTGTGATCCTCCATCAGCAGCTGCAGTTTCTCTCAGCTGTATCAGTGCAGTCACTGTGACGTCTGACTGACAGAGGTTTTTGTACGACTCTTTATCACTGTGTGAACACTGGACCACTGTGATAACTCTGACAGTAATAATCTCCTGTATCTTCAGTCTGGACTCCACTGATACTCAGAGTAAAATCACTGCCAGATCCACTGCCACTGAATCTAGATGGAGTTCCAGTATAACGGCTGCTTATATATTTAATCAGGAGTTTAGGAGCTTCTCCAGGTTTCTGCTGATACCAGGCTAAGTAGCTGCTGTATATTCCTACATCTATATGACACTCTATTGTTGCCGTTTGACTCAGTTGGACAGTTTTAACTTCAGGTTGAGTCAGAGTCACTCCTCTGGATTCTGAAGAAGAGAAAAGAAAGTCGGTCATTTTGTTAATCACCTTATATTTGTATATTAAAATAATCAAAACAACAATGGCATATTATATTTATATTAAAAAGTAACAACCTTGAGCAAACAGTGCAATGGTCCAGATGAAGATGCAGATGTTGTTCATAGTTGTAGTTTAGTCTTGTGTGATGATGAAGAGTGTGTGTGTTCTGCTCTCAGTCATGAAGTGTTAAACTCACAGCACTATAAACACTCTCAGAGCACTGAAGCATGTGCTGACAATGCAAAGAAGTGGGCAGGATTTACAACAGCTTGTGCTGACAACACACTCATATACACTAGAGTTACACAATCATGACTTTATTTAGTGTGTTTATTGTGACTCCTGAGACCAATGGCGGATCTAGAAAATTTGACATGTATGTGAATTGATTTAACAAAACAAACATAAAACACTTTTAAACTCTAGTAGTTTTTGTTTAATCAAAGGTTTGAGCCCAGTGCAGTGTTCAAACAAAACAAACTGTGCATCTTTTAAAAAGTAAAAGTAGAAAAAGCAAAATGAAAATTTATTTCAAAAAGTACAATAATTGTGTCCAAGGTGTAGTGGACTACAGAAATAAAACAGTTGACAATAACATCATTTCAACTAATGTTAACTAATACAACCTTTGATTTTAATAACGTATTAGTAAATGTTGGAATTAATATTAACTAAGATTAATAAATGCTGAAGATGTGTTGTTCATTCTTAGTACATGTTAACTAATGAACCTTATTGTAAAGTGTTACCGAAAATGTACTCTTGATACTCAAGTACTTTTAAAAACAAGTTCTTCAGTACTTTTACTCAAGTAGACATCTGACTGTAGTACTTTTACTTGTACTTGAGTAAAATTTAGCAAGAGGTATCTGTAGTTTTACTCAAGTAATAAAGCTGTGTACTCTGTCCGCCTCTGGATTTAATGTGACACTTTAGTAAGTTATAAAGTGGAAAGTTACATGTTAGGGTTAGTGATATATTAATCTTATTTTTAAAACACAAGCTTTGAACTTATTTCTGATTATTATTATTATTAAATTGTTTTGTTTTTCTTGTTTTTCGTAGCAATACCTGGCAACATTTTACTGTCGGCATTAAAAAAAAGCTTATGGACAAACTGTAATTGCATAAACAAACGCAATGATCATTGTGATGATCTGTAAGAAATGTATAACACTATATTAAACTATAGCATAATACAGATCTGTAGGTTATGTTACAGAATGAAATTTGCCAAAAACTTACTGGCCAGCAGGAAGACGGCTCATGCTGTTTAGTTAACCTTTCACAAAGTCGTCATAAAAACATTAATTAAAGCAGTGTTTCTTAACTAGTAATCTATTCTGTCAGCATATTTGTGTTTTGATCTGTGTGAATTACAAAAATATAAGACTTGTTAGACCTGCTTTTTTCTATATTTCTTTGCACAAAACTCTCTAGAAAGTGCAATTTAATGGTTTATTTTTCTTTTTTTTTATCTACTTTTTTTCGTTCTCTTTTAAAGATAGGATGGGGGGCCCCATACTACCTTCGTCTTGGGCCCCCAATTAGCTAAATCTGCCACTGGTCTCATTCCTATTTAACACCTATTTATCCTATTTAACATTTTCCCCTCCACAGACGCACGTCGGTAAACTAGGGAATGAACTTGCGCTCCGTGGGCGGATCGGCACAAAAAGGAGGCGTGTTTCGGCGCAAACATTCCCTGGTGCTATTTTACACTTCCAGAAAACAATTGCGTCACTGACCAGAAAACACCTGGTCTAAAGTCAGTGGCGCGTTGTTCATAATGCTATTTTAACCGCACATGCTTGGCCATAATGTAGCGGGTGCACAGCGCGCTTTGATTCTCTCATCAACACAGATGCAGCAGTTTTTATTTTTGCAAATCATACATTATTACAAGGAAAAATATTAACACATGAGGGAAATCATTGTGCTTTACATGAAGATGAAAAAAACTTATTACCCATTTTTTAAGGCTAATTTTATTAAGGAAGGATCAGACCTGTTTGCCCAATAGTGGCAAGAAACAGATGTATATAATGTTTAACCGATGCTGATGCGAGGGTTTCTCCATCCCCATACACCGTCGCCTCTCTGTCTTTCACTGTCTACAAGATCGTCGGTCTCATCGGCTGTGAACGCTCCTGACGCGCGCCTGGTAAACCCGCCGTTATAATAACAATCCGTCATGCAACATGCGCATCTGCTCTTAAAGGGTATGTTGGATGGCGCTCTGATTGGTTTATTTCACGTTACGCCCAAACCACACCTATGAATAATGAAGCTACTTCAGACCAACCCCTTTTAGATTTGTGCCAGAGGCATTTATCCCGCCGGGAAAACAGCAACAGCGCCGGGACCCGCCCACAAAGTCGCGCTTTGACATCGTTCGTTAAAATAGGGCCCAATATGTGAAAACCTCTGGTTATCCTTGTATTACATTACACTGTAGGGCCATATAGCTAATAAGTAGCTTATAACAAATATAAAATCTGAAAGATTTATCACATGCACACACCAGTTATGTTTAGACTACTTAATCCTATTGTATTTGTACCTGGTTTCATTGAGTGATATCTGAGAGGAATTGGATTTATAAGACTGCTTATCTCAGGGGTCCGAAACCTTTTTTGACCAAATAGACATTTTTTTATTTATGGTTAATGCATTTTTCCAAAAGAGCCACAGTAAAATAATTATATAATATTATTATTAAAGACGTGCTTTTTTCAGTTAAATTTCAACAGCATTAGGCTAATTATTAGGTCCATAAAAACAAACAAATATTTAGCAAACAAACTTTCAATATTATTAATTGTGAAGGGCTTTCACAGTGAGGTTGAGTTATCAACTGATGAGTATAGTTCCCTCTGTCTGCGTGTGTGTGTGTGTGTGTGTGTGAGAGAGAGAGAGAGAGAGAGAGAGAGAGAGAGTACTTGGAGTACTTACAGTACTTACAATCTAATGTACTTACAATCTAGTAATTACATCTACTGTGTTTACGTGAATACTTTGATATATTTCTGTATTTATTTGTTCATTTAGCTGTGCAACCGAAAAGCTAATCAAATGATCAAACCCCTAATAACACCGTGTCCGAACTACACGTGACACGATAAAATTCCAGCGACAGCAAGAGTGTCTGTCCACACTAGACGCGACTGTGAGACGCCACACGTCAATCAAAAATCACAGCCATTCAGAACAGCGAGTGGGCGGAGTCTCTCTGTGAAAGCGCACTGTTGACCCGCACTCGCTTTGGAAATGGGTAAGGACATAATCAAATCAAGAAATAACATTATTAAAAATCAAAACATTAACAAAATATATTCATTGACTAAATTTGTTATAAAGTACAGTTGTATGTTTACATATAATTCATTTTGAACGCTATATTATATGCTTTCAAAATCTGTCGCTTGTGGCACAGTGACCTATTTTTAACTAAAAATAAATAATGTGTACTCATAACCAGTGTAATTTCTTCATTCTGGAAAAGATACCTTTAATCGCGTGTCGCGGCGTGTGCAGTTAGGACACGGTGTAAGGCACTGTATTGTGTGTCGTAACGTAACGTCGGCATAACGGCGACCATAAGTAAATGTTATGGATACAAACAATATTTTATATTTTTTATTAAGTTGTTCTGGTCTTTACTAAAATATAAATTAGATAATCAAAGGCAAGAGTCACGAGGGATCAGTTTGATCGATGATTTTGGCTAACGTAATAGACTCGCTGTTTTTGCTGATGCTGAATCGTCTTTAGCAAACAATACATTCCTCACAAATGTAACTAAATTAAACACGTGTTTAAACAACACCTGGGGAAACACGTATGTAACCGACTCGGCCTGTAACACATGTGTAGCTGTTCCATAACTTAGTTACATGTTAATTACATTTTTTAACATGTTCTTACAATGTTTAATACTAAGTAATTAATAAGTAATTACTCTGTATCACGGACACAGAAAAGCATATATTACATTTACCTTTAAAGTCTTTATAAAGTTTGCTAGACATTGATATTGTGTAGTGTGTGATCCTCCATCAACAGCTGCAGTTTCTCTCAGCTGTATCAGTGCAGTCACTGTGACGTCTGACTGACAGAGGTTTTTGTACGACTCTTTATCACTGTGTGAACACCCATTTACCACTGATATAGTGTGCACTCTGACAGTAATAATCTCCTGTATCTTCAGTCTGGACTCCACTGATGCTCAGAGTAAAATCACTGCCAGATCCACTGCCACTGAATCTAGATGGAGTTCCAGAATAAAGGGTTGATGCATAATATATCAGGAGTTTAGGAGCTTCTCCAGGTTTCTGTGAGTACCAGGCTAAGAAATTATTATTAAACACATTACTGCTGGTTTTACAGTTTATTCTGACTTGTTCTCCTGGTTGAACTGCTGATATTGATGGACTCTGAGTTACAGTGATCTGTCCTCTACACTCTGGAAGAAAACACACACAAAAATGAAAATTATATATGATTATATACAGTATATGATAAATAGATATTTAGATTTTAAGAGAATTTATAATTATTGTAAAAACTGTATCACACAAACCTTGAATAAACAGTGCAATGGTCCAGATGAAGATGCAGATGTTGTTCATAGTTGTAGTTTAGTCTTGTGTGATGATGAAGAGTGTGTGTGTTCTGCTCTCAGTCATGAAGTGTTAAACTCACAGCACTATAAACACTCTCAGAGCACTGAAGCATGTGCTGACAATGCAAAGAAGTGGGCAGGATTTACAACAGCTTGTGCTGACAACACACTCATATACACTAGAGTTACACAATCATGACTTTATTTAGTGTGTTTATTGTGACTCCTGAGACACTGAGGATGTGCAGATGAACGTCCATCTCTGTGTCCATATTCAGTCATGTGACCATCATCACTGCTACACTTCCACTAGATGAAGCGCCATCACTAAAGTAAGATCATGAATCATGAGTGTGTTCAGAAAGTATCAGGACTGATTGTGAATCTCAATACAGAGACCCAGAAGATGTTGCCGCCGCTCCGTGTCCTGTGTCTTTTATTGACTATATCTCCCCTTACCAGGTGTTAAACGACTAAATTGTCGTGAAAATACATGTTGAATGAGTCAAGGCTGTGAAAAATGGCAAATGCCATTCTTTGAAGTGTATTTATTGTTTGTATATTGTTGTCTAAAAGTTCGGTTCAAGTTAGTTAACCATGTGTGTAACTAGTGAATGCTAAACTGATGGCAGAGACCATTACAGAAATATGAAAAACAAAGTGAATTTATACATTATTATTTGTGTTTTTGAGTACTAATGTAACAGTTAAGTTAACCG